TTAGGACAATGCAGAATTTCAAATGATCCTATGTGAGTTAGACTACAGGAGCTCCACACACTAATCTTAATCTCTCTAGTCTAGCATTACCCCTCTGCTTTGGCTGTGTAGACATCATTCTGGTGACTTGCTGCCTGGTTGAGTCATGCTCTCTCTTCCCAGTTTCCTTGCTGTAGTCCCAACCACTCCACGTGCTACTCTACCTTGAATCTTTCCATATCTTCTGTTTTAAAGGCATTAATTTATTTAACAAATATTAGTTGAGCACCTACTCTGTGCCAGGAATTGTACTAGAAACTGACGATATGGAGTGAACAGAAAAGTACCATCTCAAGTACACCCTTGCTCTCATGGAATATATATGCTGTATGGGAAAGTGACAATTGTGATACAATTAGTTGTCTGGTTATATCGTGACTAGTGTTTTGAAGGAAAGCAACAGGAACTAAAAGCATGTAAAGAAGAGTGGCTCTCGGGGTGTGGGCAAGAAGAGAAACTGGAAAACATGGCACTTCTGATATCAATAAAGCCACACTATAGTTTGGCCTCTCTCTTCATCTGTTAAAAAAAAAAGAAAAAAAAAAAAGAGTGGCTCTCTTCCTGCTGTTGAAGGTCAGGTCCAGTTTCTTTGAGGAAGGGATGTTTAAATTGGGTTGGAAAAGGTAAGAGAGAGTGTAGGTCCTGAAGTAGAAGGAGCAGAACACCATCTCTAGAAAGCTTTCCTTTATGGTCCCTGTGAATTAGGCGACAACCTGGATGGTGCAAATGGTGAAGTTCTCATCTGTTAGATGGCAGGTTGGTGGCCTGGTTCAACCCAAAGTTACCTCAGAAGGAAGGCTCAGTGATGCACTTTCAAAAGGTCATGGCCATCAAAACCCTGTGGAGAACAGTTCTCCTCTGACACCTAGGGGTTGACACCTAAGTTGCTATCTATAGCAGCTGCTTTGTGTTTTTTTAAAAGCAATTGGATACCTTCTCTGTTCATAATTCCAGTATAATCTTACACTTCTCATAATGTAATCATACCTAATGTGTCCACCTTTCTATCCAGATTGCACTTTAAACATTTTCCAAGTTTTCTTATATTGCAAGGATGGGGGAGTGCCAAACACAGTTGTTGTTGGTTTGGTTTGTTTGGGGTTTTCTTTTACCATGAAGGACACACTATGCAAAATCTCAGATGAAAGTATATAAATTGTAACAAGGATAGAAATGCTCCCAACTTATTATATCCTTTGAGTGAGAAAGTACCACAGAGATTCTCTCATGCATACATTCAAAGTCGAGACAGTTGTTGCATTTAGAAAATACATCTTGTTGACAACTGTTAAAAACTTGAAAGTCTATTCTTTGAATGAAAATTTAATAGAGTTTCTACCATTCAAGCAGATTAAATCAAAACACTATTTCAAGTTTCTGAAGTTTATGTGTGTAACAAGGATCTGAATGTTTACAGTATATCCTTAAGAACACCCTGCAGATTCTCTAGGATAAATATATTAATTTAAAGTTGTGCAGCTAAAAAGAAAAAAAAATAAAGTTGTGTAGTTTACAAAATACACAGTGTGTAACAAAGATAATCGGAACACTCTCATACATTCTTTGAATTAATATACAAAATAGAATTTCTTCCATTCAAATACATGAAGTAAAAGGCGACCACAACATTTTTGAATCCCTAAGCTGAAAGCGTTCAATATTTAAGATGACTGGTAAATGTTAGTAAAATGATATAGTAAGTGAATGGATAAAAACTTTGACTATAGTGAGCACAAAATTATATTAACTATTATATATATCTGAAGTAAAGCTGGTGTTTAGCCAATTGAGAGTCAAACAGCAGACTTTCACAACCAGCCCAACTAGAAAAATTCATATCTGTGTTTTTAGACTATGCAAAGGCATTTGTGCAGATCACAATAAATTGTGGCTAACCTTGAGGAGACTGGGAATCCCAGAACATTTGACTGAACTTATGCAAAACCTATACTCAGACCAGGCAGCAGTCCTTAGAACAGAGCAAGGAAACACTTCATGTTCAAATCAAGAAAGGAAGGTGTCACGGGTACATCTTATCTCCATACCTTTTCAATCTATATGCAGATCAGATCATTTGGGTGGCTAGGCTTTATGAAGAGGACTGTGGCATCAGGATTGAAGGAAGACACATCAACAACTTCCATTATGTAGATGACACAGCCCTGCTTGCTGAAACTGAGAATAACCTAACGCACTTGCTAAAGAAGGTCAAGGACTGTAGTCCTCAATATGGATTGAAGTTCAACATAAAGAAGACAAAGATTCTCACCCCTGGGCCAACTGGCACCACCATGATAGGTGGAGAGGAGACTGAGGTTGTTAACAGTTACAGCTTGCTTGGCTCCATGATCAACATTCTTGGCACCAGCAGGCATGAAATCAAAAGACAAATTGCACTGGGAAAATCTGTTGTCAGGGACTTCTCCAGAGTACTGTGTAGCAACAATGTCAGTGTAGAGACCAAGATGTGCCAAATTCAGGCCATTGTCTTTATAATTATTTTGCTATTCATCAGAGAGCTGGACAATGACTAAGGATGACAGAAGAAGAATCTATGCCTCTGAGTTGTGATCCTGGAGAAGAGTCTTGAACATGCCATGGACCACTAAGAGGCCAATTATGCCTATCTTCACGAGGGTGAAGCCATATTTCTCCTTGGAGGGTAGGATTTTTAAGCTCCATCTCACATAATTTGGGCCTGCAGCCAGGAGGGACCAATCCCTGAAGACAGACATCATGTTCATAATAGAATGGTGGAGGGACAGAGCAGGAGAGGAAGACACCAGATGAAAGAGATTGACAGTAACTAAAGCAATGGAGATAGATGTGTCAGATGAGTCAATGAGACCTGCTCATGATAGGACAGGCTTCAAAGCTGTTATATGTAGGGTTGCTATGAGTCGCAAGAGACTCAATGGGACATAACAACAATACAGTGCACATCACCACCCATTTTGTACTGAGTGAGTCAAAGGGGGAGTAATAGAGGAAGACATGGTTCAGACAAACAAAACAGTAGTGTTGGCTTCTCTAACATATAGATGAATGCTCAAGAAGTGTGCTATTCACTGTCAAGAGATCACTGGCTTTATAATTAAGCTATATTCCAAAAGGAAATTTGGGGACTTGCTGTTGCTGTCAGGGGCCATCAAGTCAACTTTGATTCCCAATGACCCTGTGAACAACAGAGCTGAGCCCTTCCCTGTCCTGCACCATTCTCACAATCTTGGATACGCTCTAACCCATTGTTACAATCATTGTATCAGTTCAATTTGTTGAGTATCTTTTCTTTCTCTGACTCCTCACCTTTCTCAACATGATGTCTTTTCTCAGGGACTAGGCCTTCCTGAAAATATGCTGAAAGTATAAGAGACGAAGTTTCACCATACTTACCTCTAAGGAATACAGAATTGTTTGTTGTTTCAGAAGTCCATGGGATATTCAATACTTTTCTCCATCACCTAATTCAAAAGCATTAATTCTTCTGTTGTTTTTACTCATTGTCCAACTTTCAGATGCATGGAAAGTAATTGAAAAGGCCATAGTTTGGATCAGGCACACCTTAGTTTTCAGAGTGGTATCCTTGCTCTTTAGCATTTTGGAGAGGTCTTTGACATCAGATTCTCCTAATGAAACATGTCTCTTGATCTCTTGACTGCTGTTTATCATGGATTTTTATTGTGGACCCATGTAAAATGAAATAGCTGATAGTGTCAATCTTTTCTCAGTCTGTCACAATGTTGCCTATTAGTTCAGTGCCAAGAATTGTTGTGTTCTTTTGAGATGTAACCCATATTAAAGGCTATAGTCTGATCTTTTGCAGTAAGTTTTTCAAGTCCACCGCTTTCCACAAGCAAGGTGGTGCCATCGGTATAATGCAGCTGTTAACGAATCTTCCTCTAATCCTAATGCCACCTTCTTCATATAGACCAGCTTCTTAAATTATTTGCTTAGCTCACAAATTAAATAGGTATAGAGAAAGGATACAACTCTGACACACATCTTTCCTAATTTTAAATCATGAAACATTCTTTTGTTCTGTTTGGACATCTGCTTCTTGGTTAATGCATAGGTTTCACATGGCACAATTAAATGTTCTGAGATTCCCATTCTTCTCAATGTTAGCCTTAATTTGTTATTATCCACACCATCAAACACCTTTGCATGGTCAATAAAGTGCAGCAAAATATCTTTCTAATATTCTCTACTTTCAGCCAAGATCAATCTGACATTAGCACTGATAGTCCTTATTAAGAAAATTCATCTTCTGCTATTACTGTCATTTTATGAAAATAATTGAAAACCCCTCAAACTCAATCTAGAGGATACTCCTTTGAATAAGGCATGTTTGGCTGTAAGGGGGGAAAAATCAGTATATAACAGTGATCAGAGGAGGAGTTCTGAGTTTTGAAGAGCCAGTAGTCAAATAATGCTGGCTTGCAATCTGTCAATATGAAATTCCCCCCAGCAAAATGTGCAAAAGCAACTCAGCAATATCCATGTCCCAAAGACTGTTATTTGAACTAAGCTTTCCATTTTCAATTTGCCAATATAAATTTTGCCTGTGAACCTATGTGTTCATCTGGAAATGATATTTTGCAATCCTGAAAAGCAGTGGTTTCTTTCCAAAGTGAGAAACTTCCTTTTTCAGAAGGAGGATTCACCTTTAGAACAAGACAAGTGAGGCAAGGACAGTGAGTGCTGGAGCTTTATTTAGTCTTGTAATTTGGACACAAACACTCTGGCATAGTTTGCTAGTCGGTGAGTGGAAGTCACTGAAGTGAACCTTGAGACTGAGGCTCTTCTCTGGAGGAAAAGGACAAGTCTTTTAAAATCATTTAAACAAGAGTAAAGGGTAAGACCCACTGTCAACATTTCTAATTTCTCTGGGTCACTCTGGGCCTTGATTTGATTAGCAAATATCTAAGTCTATGAAATCTACTCTTTTTTAATTAATTTAGGTTGACACAAATGAACAGCTGAGAAGAATCGCTCAAATGAGAATTGTTGAGTATGACTACAAACCTGAATTTGCATCTGCAATGGGAATAAACACTGCCCATCAAACAGGTATGCAAGCAGATTCCCCTGTTGCATTGTGATACGTTAAAACTTTTATTTGCCTTTTATTTTGAAGTTGTGTGCTGTGACATTTGACAAACACTCTGGTGGTCCAATTTGTCCTTTGTGAAAACCATGGCTAGACCAGGAAAGGTTATGAAATGTCTGTGTTACCTTTCCTCAAGGCCTCCCCCCTCCTTTCTCCCCCTTGGTACATCTGGAGCATTTTGGATAAGGAGATTCTTCACACCAGAGTCCTCTTGTTCTTGGGAGTGGTATTCATGGACACACTGCTCCTAGAGAAAGAACACTGGTCTAGAGAAAGAAATTAGAAAGAAAGATGCCTTGAGGTGAGAGAAAACAAAAACCAAAAGCCCACAGCTGTCGAGTTAGCTCCAATTCATAGTAGTTTCCAAGGCTGGAAATCTTATAGGAGAAGACTCCCCATCTGTCGCCTGCACGGCAGCAAGTGGATTCAAACCAAAGACCTTTCAGTTACTGGTGCAACACACTCTGCACTACGTCACCAAGGGGTCAGCAAAGTGGTGTTTATATTGTAGTCTAGGAACTCTTGAGGGGGAAAAACCCATACAGGGGCACAGATTTCCTACAGAAAAAGAAGTCCAAGGGTCTGCCCCACCTGTACTTCTTTCTACGTTGCTCTTGTTGGTTGCCATCAAGTGGATGGTGACCCTGTGGTGACCCTGGGCTTGAGGAGTTATGTGCTGTTGAGTAGATGGTGACTCATGGTGACACTATGCACGCGGAGTAGAGCACTTGTCAAGTCTGTGACCTTTCGGAAGCAGATTGCCAGCACTGTCCTGAAACAAGTCTCAGGCTGACTCAAAGGGTCTTTGACTATATTCCAAGTAAGGAATGTTTGGAATAGGCATGCGGATGAGCAAACATTATTTTTCTTGCTGCAAGTAAAAAGTAAACAGAGGCTAGCATTTTTGAAAAATGCCATCTTGAAAAAAAGTTTTGTTTGAGCAAGTATTTGAAGCTGTTAGGTTAAGGGGATGAGAAAGGGCTTTTTTGGTTTTTTTTTAGTATATTTTTGAGGAAAATGTGTACTTTTCTGATACATTGACTGTGGTGATGGGGTCAAGGGTGTTGGAGATGGTGAGTTTGGCTCAGGAGAGGAGCAAGTTCACAGCTGTTGTTGACAAGGTCATCATGAGTCATAGTTGACTTGATGGCCTATAACAACAACAATATGAACATTTGGAGGTGTGCACAGCTGATCTTCATGATGGAGTCTGTCCAGTTAATTGACCATCAACAGCTTTGTCAGGGCGTGTGCTATCGATTTTTTCATGACTGCCTTCTCTGGAAGGTCGTAGTGCAATCATTCTTTGACTCTGTGTGTGCCTGGCATATGCAAGCTCTTGCAGATAACTTAAAGCAAGATTACTGTCAAAGTTAAATTTCTCACGAAAGAATACCTACTGTTGCCTGTGTTAGCTGAATTCAGTGGTGCTTTTGTGGGGTATGCCTGGGACTGGTGTTGAAGAGTTTGTGGCTAGCTTCCTGGACCTGGACTGACTTAGGGAAAAGAGTTGGTTACACTTAATTTTAGCCAAAAGGCTGAGAAGCGCTAAGACTTTGTTAAAATTGAACAGAAAGGTTTTTTTTTTTTATTTCAATGAACATCTACAGAGATTTTCGAATTTCGTTCATTCATTGTTGCATTTTTCTCCCCGCCCACCCCACCAAGAAAGGTAATTTTATATTGGTTAATGAGGGAAAAAATCAGGAAAATGGGAAAGCTTGGGATCAAAGTAAACTTAGCATTAAAAATCAGTTAAGATTTCTCCTTCCTATGAATTATTGTTGTTGATGTATTAAGTATTGTCTAGTCAAGCATGACTCATAACGATTATAGGAACAATAGGCCTGAACCCTGTCCTATCCAGTGTCATTCCCACCATCTCTGACACACGTGAGCCCATTGCTGCAGCCGCTGTGTTGATCCATTTCACCGAGGGTCTTCCCCTCATTAGCTCACCAGAAGGTCACCTTTCTAGGCATGATGTCCCTTTCCAAGGAATATCTCCTCCTAAAAACATTCCCATCATGCCATCAATGGTTAGAAACTAATTTAAAAAGAAAAAAACCAAGGAGCTCTGCTAGCCTAGTGGTAAGAAACTGTGCTGTAATCCCAAAGGCATGAAGTTTGAATCCACCAACTGCTCTGCAAAGGATGGACACTCTCCTCCCATGTGATTTATAGGCTCTGAAAACCCACTGGAGGGTCAGCTATGAATTGGTTTCTTCTTGACAGCAAATAACATTTTTTTAAAAAGACCGTCTTTGATACAAGGTGATGGCTGATCAGGAAATTTTTTTATGGCAACCCAGAGGTTTAAATTAAAGGCAAGAACTTCAGGAAAGTTTCTTGTTTTTGTTGTTATTGTTGGTTTTTTTTTAAAATTTTTTTTTATTTTATTTTATTATTTTTGTGTGCGTGTACCGTCAAATCAGATCTGACCGGTACAGGAGGAGATTGTCCCTCCTTCCCCGGCAGAGCATCTGGTGGATTCGAACCGTGCACCTTTGGGATTGTAGTTGCAGCTTCTTACCACTAGGCCACCAGAGCTCCCCTATTGTTTGTTTTTTAAAATAATGTCTTCTGTGAGTCAGACTTGAGGGTCAACTATAGGTCTGCCTTGAAGGTACATTAACAGCAACAACTGTGAGTCAGAAGAGATTCCCCCCCCTCCCCCACCCCAAGCAGGAGGGACGAGGTAGGGGTGGGATGGTAACTATGTGAATGAAAATGGCCCGGGTTTGTAGAGCCCTGTTGTTCTAAAGGACACTGTTGTTGTCATGGGTCCTCCTAGCTGACCCTTCAAGAGGTTTTCAGAGACTGTAAATTGTACTAGAGGAGAATGTCCATCTCTCTCCTGTGGAGCAGCTGGTGGACTTGAGCTGCTTGTCTTTGGGTTGGCAACAAAACTCCTTACCCACCAGGCCACCAGAGCTCCCTTAAAGGACACCTGTCTTTTTAAAATTCCGAGGTCTTTTGTGGGTATTGAAGACACTTCCTGACAGTAGGGGTTGACATGGACTTGAAAGCTCAGAGAAGAGTATGAGGTTTATTTAGACGACATCTAGAATTACCAAGTTCAAAGTGCAGTTTGTGCAAATCACACACATGCTGGGATTTAAGACCTAAACCAGAACCAGCCTATGTCAATCCCGCCCTGAAAGATTTGTATTGAATCTAGCCTTTTTCATCTGGGTTTGAACTACACCTTTTCAGTCAGTAATCAAGCCCTGAATCTTTGATGCCTCTCAGCGACCTACGTGCAGGGATTTTAATGCATTTCCGTACCTCTTGGCTCAGGGTCTATAAGAAAAATGGAGAGAGAAATTTCTCCATTTTAATGCTACACTGATTCTTAATTCAAAATTTGTTCATATAAAAGCATTGTAAGTCAAAGTCAAAGATCAGAAGGATAAGCATTTATTTCCAAAGATGTTCTGCTGCCTACCTATGCTCTGTGTTGGCCTTAGAGGGTTTCCTTGGAAAGGTCTTGCTGTGATTAAATTTGTTGTTGTGTTTGTGTGTAGGAATGATTGCTCAAGAGGTGCAACAGATCCTACCTGGAGCTGTGAGAGAGGTTGGTGATGTCACCTGTGAAAACGGAGAAAAGTTGGAGAACTTCCTCATGGTTGATAAGGTAATTGCTCAATAAATATCCATTACTTTAGCTGTGATGCCCCATGTAACTCCCCTGGGCTGACACCCTGACTGAGATATAGGATACAAAATACTATTCTTCACAGAGTTGTAGACTAAGCTGGTGTTAGTTCTCTCACGTTGATTGTAAAAAGAAGCCCTGTAAAGGGATTACAAAAATGAATCTGCAAATATAAGAATGAAAGTTCTGAGAGGCCTCATTGCTGAGGGTAACTGGCTGAGGAAAAGGCCACTTAGGGTGAATACCTTTAAGCCTGATTAGACTTTTATCTTTAAAAATGGAATTAACAAATTAAATTTGTTTTCTCTTACGTAATATAGTTCAAATTGTATTTTTTAAATTGCAAATTTTAAAATTTGCTACTTAGAATAAAGTAAACATAATTTATCCAGTTTGAAACAGATGAGGGAGAGAATAATTTAAAAGCGATATATGATAGAGTATTATGGTTATCATAAGAATTCAGAATGAAAGTTGCATAGTGGAGTGTACTCGGGGTGGTGGGAGGTATACAGGGGGGATTGTATACCAAAGAAAGAATTTTTCTTTTACATTTCAAAGAGAGGGGCGAACTGGGGCCAGGGGAGGGCTGGACAGGGAGAAAAGTGCAACAATGAATGAATGGAAATCCAGTCTCTGTAAATGTTCATTATAATTAATAAAATAAAATTTTAAAAAAAGAATAAAGTAGTAATAGATGAAATGGGTTTTGGGGGTTTTTAGCATAATCTTTCGGCAGAACTGTACATTTGACTTTCACAGCACAATCGTAAAGTGGGTCACTTTTTCAAAGATATTCATGGTCTCATCATTTTCCCCCCAAGGGCCTTTCTCAATGCTTTGATATTCAAATCCCTCTCTTTTGAAGGAATGCTATCCTATCATCCTTATAGATTTACTTCCCTTTATTCATTAATGTATCTAACTCTGCCAGTTTCTGGATTTGGGAGACTTCATGTGTGATTTGACTAGTTCTCTGATTATCTGTCTCAGTTATGCGACATCCTGTCATCTTTTGCAATATTTGGAAATTCCGCCTGTTCCTGGGTTGCCTTGTTGTAAGAGGCGAAAACCCCAGTTACCACTGCAGTTGCAAAAAACCAAGGAAAGTAGTTTATTTTGGCATACTGTTTAAAAAGAAAATGACAGACAGGTAAAGGAAGGGGAATGGGGGCTGCAAGCTGTCCAGTTACATCTCTTGAAATTTATACAGCTTTACATTAGGATTCAGCTCCCGTTAACATGCTTAAGAAGTGAGATGCTCAAATATCTCTCTCAGAGATTTTCCTTGTCATGAGTGACCTTTGATGTGGGTGACAGTCCAAATCAAATCTTGTCTTCTCAAGACACAGGACATTCACAGACATGGGAAGGAAGCCAAACAAAAAGCGGTATTCTTAGGTAATGAGCGCCAGGAGGTTTTCCTTCAGTCCAGGTCAGTGGGAGATGGAAATATGAGTGATGTTGGTTCTAGTTCTTTTGTTCCTCGTGACTGTATTTCTTCAAGAAGATAATACTATTTGTCTGCTAAAGGGGCTTTTCTAGGGGGAAGGATGGGTACAAATCAGAGGAGCTAGCATGAAGTCTGCAAATTTGGCTCTTGGAATTGGCAATCGAATTTGTATTTTATTTGTTTCTTTTTTCAATCTGAATTGAAGTTATATTATTAGAAAGGTACAAAGGGACAAATACTGCATGGTGCCACTGTTGTAGAATGGGTCTGACATCAGGGTGGGGGTATGACAGAAAAAACTGGATAAATTATGTATATTGTATTGAAACAGATGAGGGAAAGAACAGATTAGAAGTGATATATGATTGAGTATTATGGTTAGCATAGGAATCGAGAATTAAGGTTGCATA